GCAATGCGCAATGGAATAGGGAAAAGCGCCCTCAACGAGGGGATGCCGACGTCTAGGAAAACAACGAGGAAGGGCGGAGGTGAAGGGTAGCAGGAGAGGGTACCTGAATGAAGAAGAGATCCATGAATGAGATGTGGTTGGATGTGAGGATGAATTGCTCAAAGTCTCTGTGGTTGTGATTTTCCGAGACGGATGGGGGATTCAGCGTGAGCGAAGGGTGCGTGCAGATGGAGTCACCCAAGTCCTAAAAGGAGCCAGACAGTCATCGAGAAACATGCCACACTCCATCGCACTGGCGCCTTCGTTGCCGCCAACGCATGCATCCACCCTCTTGTTCGATTGGCTGCAGCTTACATCGGTTGCGGTGGCAGCTTGACCTTGATAGTGATCCAGGGAATGAACTTGAGAGCCCAGCTGGTAATCATGCAGATCGCGTACACCGATCGCCCTGGTCATTGGTGTGAGCAAATACGCATTTACATTTGTTTTCCCGTGCAATTTTAGCCGAGGAAATATTTTCCCAGAAGCATCTGTTCACGTTGGGGAGTGGAGCGAGTCTACCAACTCCCCTCCCAAGCCCTTTGCGTACCTTGTGCCTTCTTAGTGTCCCGAGTGAAAGCATGGATCAGCAAGGCTGCCGCTACATTTACAGTCGTTGCGCTCAAGAGCACGCTTACTGCGTAGGAAGCTCGAAAGAGGGACAGCGCTTGTCCCAAAAAAGACGGGGGCTTCGAGGAGGCGGCCTTGGCCAAAGTGTTGTCTTCAACGGGAGGCTCGGAGCCAATACCTTGCTCCCCTCCCAAGGTAGGAGCTCGTGGGGAGGAAGCAGATGCCATTTCGCTTTACCAAGGCCTGTTGCTGTGTCATTTGAAGGTGAAAGTGTGGTCCACGCCGGTTGGGTAGTAAGTACCTGTTGCGGAGGGCGATAGGCTTTTATGAGGTCAGGAGGTTGGATTGACCAGCGATATACAGGCCGCCTCTCGTTTTCCACAGTGAAGGATTAGCTATGAGGTACATAAATACAATACTTTTAGTATTACTGAGATGCTGAGAAAACATTCATCTTGAAGTTCCCATTTTCGTTCGTTTCTGACGCCTACCCGCTGTCCTAACTTCATCGCGCTCTATGTTTATTTCTTTTGATTTCCCCACGTTTTCGTTCGAATGCTTCTTATAGCTTATCTCATGCCTTTCAGCTTCTTCCATGTTACAAATCACTATCCTCTCCGTCACAATGGGGTACACTAACTCCGCTCGGCAGCACCCGCCTTACCCAAGGGTCCTAGCCAGTCACAGAGGCTAGCGAGTACTCTCCATGGCGCCCCACATCCCAGCTCCACCCTCCCGAACGAAGACAAAGACACTGCCCTGGCCGCCCAGCCCACCAGGGGATCGTCCGATGCGGATCTTCTCGTCCACGTAGGTCGTCTCGATCCAACCCACATTTGGGCTTCTCCAGAAGTCCACCTACGGAATGCGAAAAGAAAAAGGAAGAAGGTCAAACCTTCAGTATGCAACCGGCTCACACTTTCATGTGGAGACTCTGTGGAACCAGTTGGGCCCAGAGATCTCCCTCATTTCCCATAAAAGCCTACCTTCGGCACTCGCAGCTGTTGCTCCACCTCCATCCCGAATAGCGTCACGGGCTCGAAACCCGCGCTCTGGAAGGTCAAGGACAAGCGGGTCGGCGACAGGATCTCGGACGTCGCTTCAACGCGGAGGCGGGCCGTGCTGTCGCCGAGCTTGCCCAGCAGAGGAAAGAAGGAGAGCTGGCTGGCCCCTTGGCTCACCTCCACCACGTTGGCAATGCTTTTTCCGTCTGGGGAGATGTTCTGGAAGACCTTGCCGATCACGGCCAGGGGCACGAGGCCGAGCACGAGGACGTCCAAGGCGTCGGTGTAGACGAGGCGCCAGGTCCCCGAGAGCGGGGAGGTGCCCTGAGAGAATGCCTCCGTGGGCCGAGGCGTGGGGTTGACGGCCTCCAGGTCGCGCAGCGTGTCGTCGATGTCCTCCCGCTCCGATTCCGAGACGCTGAAGCCTTTATTCTGGCCAACCAGGAGGAGGAGGAGATCGTGCTGGAGCTCCTTGCGGGTGGTGGCGCGAGCGGTGGCGTCGACAACGTCAGGTCCGGAGGAAGACGCGTCCCCGCGGTCGGTGTAATCGTCGTCGCTGCTGTCGCTGGGCCAGTCGGATGAGTCGCTCGCGGCCGCAAATAGAGGCGGGGTAAAGACGGGCGCTGACGGGGGCGACGTGCAAGGGCCGGGGGAGGAGGCTGGCAGGAGAATGTGGGCTGAAGATTGAGAAGGGGGATAAAGGAGGCACAAGTTGCAATAAGATAATAATTATATTGGATAATCAGCTGGACGGGGCCCTCGGGATGACCGAGGGGAGGCGTCTAGCGCATACTCACTGGTCGGTATCCTGTTGGCGGGGGGGGAAAGAGGACGGAAGGCTTGTGCCAAGGCTACAGTCGAGAGACCGGCCTTTAAAAGGCTACCTGCGCGCATTGCTGTACCTAAAACCGCGTTTCTATGTGCGAACGTACGAAATTAAATGAGTTATCCGCATGGTGGTGCTTTTATCTTCGACAGTTTCTAGTCTCGTCAGACGCTCTGTCACACCGACGCCTGTGCGCAGTCTGCCCAGTTACTCCGTTTGGAAAACCAGCTAGGCACGACGGCAGCATCCAGCCCAGCATGCACGGGCAATGTACCCGAGCCCTGGCCGCCGTGTCCGACGTCTCGGACAGTGCGCGTGGCAATGGAACAAAGTCGGAGAGGAGGTTTCTCGGCGCGGCGAGGGGTCAGGTTGGGTGAGACTTGCACTGTAGACGCTAACCTCAGATCTGATAAGGCCACTCTCACATCATCGACGCGTCTTACATCTACGACAGGACCACTTTATTCATTATCACAAGATGCGAATCTTCGAGCTACCTACGCTGACTCTTAGCTCACCCACCGCAACGTCCTGGAGACGCCGAGCGTTGCACTTGCCTTCCCACCTCCCCGTCTTCCTCCTAGCCCTCATCCTCCTTGGCCTCTTCACGACACACGCCTTTCGTTTGCCTAGTCATGTAGCAGGGGGCACCACATCCTCTATCAATAGAGCTGGGAGCCTCCTCGCCCCCATCTCCTCAGTCGCCTCGGCCGGGCGACGGCGTGGGAAGGCCCTGGCCCTGTTTTCCGGTATTGTAGAACAAATGGGTCGAGTGCAAAAGGTGGAGATGGACAAGGACATGGTGATGTGGAGCGGAGAAACAGGAAAGGGTACGTTGAATCGAGGGAGGGAGGGAGGGAGGGAGGGA